GTAAAAGACAAACAAATATTTACATTTCGAGATGTCGAGTAGTCTATGAGCGTTTTCAGAGGTGACGATAAAATAAATATTTTTAATTGTTTACATGAGTTTGAAGAGATGGCCGAACCTTGTAATTGGACTGATATTCAAAAAATCATATATGCCAAAAGACTATTACGTGGTTCAGCAGAAAAGTTTGTGAATTATGGACAGTAAAAGTTGGAGTGAAATGAAGAAAGCATTGGCACGTGAATTTCCAACGGTAAATGCGCATAAAATACATAAAGATTAGTCAAGATAAACCAAAAACTGAAACGTGTAATGAATATATTTATCAATTGTTCGAATTTGCAAAGCAAGTAAATATGGAAGATTCCGCCTTAATAAAATATGTCACTGACGGCATTCAAGATGAAAGAAAACTGTATTATATAATGACAAAAATGTTCGCGAGTTGAAAGAAAGTGTACACTACATGAAACGAAGAAGGAGAGTATGAAAGGTAAAGGGAAACGGGCTGAAGTGAAGAAATTGTCCGTTCGCTATGAAACGGAACAGAAAACTGTGCGGCGTTGTTATCTGTGTAGGGACCGGAAACATTTGGCTGCAGACTGTCCTATGAAGAATAAAGGCACTAAGTGCTTCAGATGTCAAGAAAATGGTCCAAATTGCAGTAAGTCAAGTAAGCCGTCAGGGGATACATGTAGCGCATCGTACTTGTATCACAAACAAACCGTTGCAAAGAAGTGGAGATAGCGCACTGTAAGTTGATTGCTTTGATTGATACAAATTGTGATTTGACAATAATGAAAGCTGATCAATATATTAAAATAGGAGTACCAAAATTAAATAATAAAATTTTTAAATTTCGTGGAATCGGCTCTGAAAGTAATAATACTTGGGGGAATTTGCGACAGAGGTAGTAATAGATAACACGTCATATTTAATGACAACTCATATAGTGTCAGATACGCTAACGCAGCACGCATTAATTGTTGTCTCGGATTTTCTGAACACTGTTGAATTGAATATGAAGGAGGGAAACATTTCCCGAGGGAAACGTAAATTATCGACAACTAAATTAGAAAATCGTAAAAGATAGAAACTCACTGCTGTTGATAGGAGATCAATTAGATTTGTTATAAGGTGCAAAAGTTTTTAATACGTTTGACATAAAGAACGGAATCTTCCACGTTCCTATCGAGGAGAATAGTATGAAGTACGCGGCGTTTGTGATTCCCAATGGTCATTATAAATTCATAAAAATATTTGGATTTTGCAACTCTCCAACCGTTTTCCAGAAATTCATAAATGCAGTGTTTAAAGAATTGATAGCTTCGGGAGTTGTTCTGACATACACGGATGATCTGATAATACTATCTGTCAATTTTATGCTGGGAAAGATTGAAATCGGTATTAAATGTTGCTAGTCAACGTAGTCTGTTAATCAATTGGAAGAAATATAGCTTCTTGCAGACAAGAGTTGAATATTTGGGGTATACCGTTGAGGATGGAAATATTCAGCCGTCCTAATATAAGATTAAAGCTGTATTAAATTTTCCAAAGACGAAATGTGCAAAAGACGTGCAAAGACTTTTAGTTTTAGACTTGCCATTTGATACGTATCACGTTGTTCATCTTGGATCGCTACCCTCGAGTAAGAAAGATTATCGGCGTATCTTTGTAATTGTTGATATATTTAACAAATTTACTTCCTTATATGCCATAAAATCCACAGATTCTACGGAGGAAATCGATCGATTAAAGAAGCAATCCTTTGTATCTGGAAATCTTAGACGAAATTTTTCAGATTGTGGAATTTTTCAGCATTTACATCGACTGCCTTTGATGACTATTGTAATGACGAAAAAATAGGTTGAGATAATAAACTGAAATCTTATACCGTTGCTGACGAATTTATCTGCACCAAAAGCAGAAGATTGGTACAAGTATCTTGAGGTTGGGCTAAAACATTTGAATGCAACATCCAGTAGAAGTACTAACACCATATTTATTATACGGAACGCATATTAATATGCGTGAATATGTGGAGATTCTTCTGCTAATAAAGGACGAATGGATCACTATGTTTCAGGAAGTTTGCCAGGAGACTCGAACAAGGGCAAGGGAAAAGATCGCTGAAATTCAAGCCCAAAATATAAAACTATATGATAAAAAAAAGAAGAAGCAACATGATATAAGCAAGGAGATATGGTTGCAATTAAATGGACACACACCGGTCCAGGACTGAATTCCTATCCGAAGTTAATTGGTCCTTACCGTGTGACAAGAGTAATACGAGATGATCAGTATGTTGTGCAAAAAATTGATGTGCAGGAAGAACCCCATACAACATCAACAGCAGTGGATCACCTGGATTAATGGTGGAAAACTTGGATTAATGACGGAGACCGTATGTCCGAAGAAAGTGACAGTGATTGCGAAAACATCTGAGGTCAGATATTAAATCAGAATGACAGAATGTAGTATCGAAATTATTATAATGTGTAGTTATAGTTTTAGTTACTTCTAATAGATGGCCTGCGTACTGGAGATGCGTGAACGAGAAATGGATGGAGGAAGTATGAATGTGATGTGAGAAGCATAGCGTTGGCATCAAGCGCTTTTCTATTTGAAAAGAGGAAAGTCATGCGAGTCAAAAAGAAATGTCAGAGTAGAAACGTAAAAGAGCGTTGAATGAGAGTGGTCAAAAAGAGTGGACATTTGTGTTTTATAAAATAATTAATTGTGTCGTTTGAGTTTATTCCAATTATTGTAGTCAGTT